GAGCGGTTCTGTCACTGCCAGCCAGCTCTGTGCTCAGAGCAGGAGTCCTGGTCCAGGCCTGTCTGGGCCTAAACCCCACACTTGTAATCCCTGACCCCTTTCTCTCTCCAAAGTCCTCCTTGACCCTGATTCCACCTAGCGAGGCCTTTTCTCTTCTCCCTCAGCCAAGATCTTCTGCGATGCTGTTTCTACTTCTTCACTTCCTGGTCTCATTTCAGTTTGCCCCTACCCAGCTGCCACCCCCAACAATCCCGAAAGCTATCCCTTCAGGGACCCGGCTGCAGCATCTGGCATTGTTAACCACTCCCTTCCTGCACCTCTCACCTCTTTCCTTAGGGACAACCTCTGCCCAGTCTGTCTGCCCTTCTGCCAGCTCCCCATCCTCTGCCTGGCCCCCTGGGACTGGCACTCCACTGGGCCATCTGTGGGCAGCTTCTCTTCTCCCCGATGTGCTCCACCTGGACATGGCTGGCCACGCCAACAGCTGCAGCTCCCAGCTGTGCGCCGATCAGCCCCAGTCCCTACTTCCAGCCAGGCCCTCCATCCTGAGCTCCCGTGGGGAACTCGAAGCCAGCTTGTCCAGACTAGAACTCCTCGCTGTGTCCCCAAATGCTCTGTTCCTTCTTTTCCCATCCAGTGGCCCACCATCCACCCAGCCACCAGGTTATAGCCCAGGGGTCCCCTGGATTTCTCTCACCTCCTCCTCCTGCCTCTCCAAGCCAGGCACCAAGTCCTGTGGGTCTTTCCTCCCAGCACATCCTCCTCTCTGCATGAATGCCTCCTCCATCCCCACTCCTGCCCCTTAGTTCACACCCTCTCTCCTCACACACTCCATTCCCAGTGCTCCTTCTTGCCCTTCTCACTCCAATCCACCCAAGTGCAGCTGCTGGGGTTGCTCTTCCAAACCTCACTCCAGACACGTTTCTCCCCTCCCCGTCGGCGGCTCCACTCCTAGGGATGCCTTAACCCCCCACCAACATCCTGACCCTATGCACATCCCCACATTAAGGCTGCTCCACTCCCTGCTGCAGCCACATCACACCACCTGCACTCCCCAGATGCAGCTCCTGAAGCATCCCCTGCATGACCTGCCACCGCTCCCCCATCTGGCAAACACAGTTGAAGGGTCAGCTCTTTCATGAAGCCTCCATGCTGTGGGGTGATCACTCCCCAGCCCTCCACCCAGCCCCCAGTGCTCCCTGCAGAGATGTCTACTGAAACACAGACACTTCATCCATCTGTGACACCACTGCCTCCTGAGGGAAGGACCAGGTCTTTTGGCATTTGTCCCCCCAGCAACTAATACAATGCCAGAAGGTCTTCAAAAATGCTTGTTAGGAGAGTGGATAGATGGGTGGAGTTGGGATGCACACAAACATCCTTCTGTGCAAACAACCACCTGCATCTAAAATCTGAGGCATGAGGTCCCTCCCCAACCTACCCACCAAGTGAAGGTTTCCCTCACTCCTCATTCAACAAATCAGATGTAGACATAGGTTGCTTCCTTGGTTCCTTCAACTAGATAACCTCTCTTCCTTGCACACGACAAGCTCTGTTTTATATTAAAGTCGGATCTTGATTCCTCCTATGAGACTGTTGGCTCCTTAGATCAGGGACTGACTTAGCGTTCAATCCCCTTGGAAGGGCATTTACCCATAGAAAGGGTCTTGGGAGGCCTCTGGTGAGGAGTGCAGACAGACTCCCATCACTGAGCAGACTCAGGCGCTGACCCCACACCAGCCCAGGCTGGCGAGTCAGGCCTCTCCCTGGGGGCACCTCCCAGCCCCCTGCGCTCCGTGTTGCCCAGGGGTCACAAGGCTATGGATGTCCCCATCCCTCCCCACCAGGAGAAGATGGCCAGCACCCACATGCAGAGTGCTCGTCCAAGAGGAAGCAAAACCCCTGGTCAGGTGCTGGTCCCGGACTCACCATGTTCATGACAGTGAGGATGAACCTCTGGGCGGCCTCAGCCCCATGGTACTGCACCATGTCAGCATCAGCCACCACCAGCGTCTCCACTGTGTGCTCGGTGGTCAGCCGGATGGCATTCCTCCGCTCCCGCCAGTCTCGTGACGGCCAGCCCCTCCTCGGCTTCTTCTTTTCTAGAAAACAATAGAGACATCTGTGCAGCCCTTTAGTGTATTGGCTTCCTGTCCACACAGTGAACAGGCCTTCCATCAAGCCTCCCCAAGAGAATGGTCAGTCTTCCCCGGCCAGTGGCCCAGGACCAGCGTCCACTGCCCTCTGCTGCAGAGGCTGAGCCTGCATGCCTGGGGGCCAGATGTCATGAGGGTCACGCCCACCCACTGTGGCAGCGATGGGGCAGATGGGGCCAAAGATTACAGAATAGAAAACCTGTCCCTGCAGGGAATGGGGAGAACAGCACAGTCTGTGGAGGAAGAGGAAGCCTGGGCCCAGCGGGTAGGGTTAATGATACAGACCCCCAGGCTTTCTGAAAGTACCATGACCCACTGCTGGGCCAATGAGCAGGGGCCTGGAAGAGGGCAGTCCAGAGACCACGCCGAGAGTCACAAATAAGGAGCTACAAACTTTAGCAGGCACAAAAGCAGTATTTCAAAAAAAAAAAAAAAAAAAAGCATCATCAAAAAAAAAAAGGACACACACATCCAGGCCAAGATTGGAGTTTGTTCTTTCCTTACCACAGGGAAGGTATTAGTAAACAGTAAGTAATTCTCCACTGACTCCCCTCAGATCAACTGATTTCCTAGATCTTACTTGCTAAACAGCTATTGTCATTATTTTGAGCCCACGTCAGGATGTCTGGATGCTCAAAGCTGCCATGTGAGGACTGACATACAGATTTGCGGGTGCAAACGCCTTTGACTAACATCAAAGGTTGATATGAATAACGTACACTTTCAGAATCCGAATGTGAATAGAAAGGCAGTTCCTTAATTTGATAGCGATTTTTTCCATCTTTATACCAGCTCACATGGAAGCCAGCTCTGCTACAACTTCCATGCAGTAAACCCAACCCATATATGCACAAACTGCCCTCATACAGTGACCCAATCATTCCAGAACCAAAGATGCATACTATAAGAAAAAACTGAAATATGGGTCATAGTGTACAAACAAGAATAGTCTGTGCAGTGAGACAAACTGAAAATCTACAAATCCAACCACAGAGAAAGCCAACAATGGTAAAACAGCAGGCAGCCATGAAAAGTACAACTGTGAAGATTATTTAGTGATGTAGAGAGAAACAGATATAAATCTATATATATGTCTTGTCAACCTGCAGGGTGGTTCCCTCCTCCACAAAGCCAGGCCCACCTCCCATGGAGACTTCCAGGCCTCAGGAATCGAATTCGGGAAGGCAGGGTCTATTCTAAGATAAAAGATAAGGTGTCAGATGGTACTGCCTTTGTACATGGCCAAAATGAAAGAGACCCCTCTTTGAGGATCTCTCTCTGGACCTACACCCACATTCACCAACGGGTCATCTCGGAACACGAGGAAGGTGGACCATGGGTGACCTCCAAATCCTGGGCTCAGCATGCCTGCCGGGTGCTCACTGCCTGGATCAGGCCAACCTGTCCATCTTGGAATTTGTGATGAGCCACATCAGCCTCACTTTAAAGCAGCAGAACTAAAGGGCCGCCCAAGCAGGAGCTTTGCTATAACGAGCTCCCCCACATTCTCCCAGGCGACCACAAGCCAAACTGTGTCTCAGCTCCTCCCAAAGTTGGGATTTATTGCCCATCTCTCAGCAACCCAACTCATGAACTCCTCTGCAGCTCTTCCCCACACTGGCTGCTTGTTTTCACACCATGTCTGTATTTTCTGGTTCCTGTATGAAAAGAGCTGCATTTTTAGCAGGGTCTAAAGGATGCACTGCTGACATTTCTCTGGGAGATGGTGAGCTTAAACACATAAGAGGGGAGTACTAAGAAAGGTAGCCCAGCACTCCCCACCAGAGAAGCAGATCACCCCCTGGACATTTCACACATCAAAATGATGCATTGGGCATTACCCTTTCAAGTAGAAACAAACAAGACCTGCCCCTCCCTCCCTGATGGACCTTGGAGAGCTAATAAACAGGGTATCATAAAGGGTAAAATGCTGCACGTTAACATATGCCCAGAACACTCAGTCACAGGTAAAACACAACCGTCAGGTGCTCTGTGGTTTTTAAAGGGTTTGCACTACAACTACCTCATCTGTCCCTTTCACTGCCCCCAGCCCCAGGCCCAGCACATGTTGCGAAGTAAACACTCACTGAATGAATGCATGCTTGAGTGAGTGAGTGAATGAATGAATACATGGATGAATAAGAGAGTGAAATCCCTCTTTCCCACATAACAAAGCTGAAGTCAAGCACTGGGCAGGGGTAAATTGGGCCCTAGAACTCAGGCTTCACCCAGCAGCTCTGACTCTCCTGCTTGCATTGGCTTTGGGTGCAAACATGCTCCTCGCTGTTGTCTGAACATGGGGATGGGAAAGGCCACAGAAAACTCAGCA